TTGCCTGTAGTGAAATTGGCTTGTGTTGATACCTCCCACAACGAAATCATGTTCTTTGCTGTCTCCATGCTCTTCATTATGAGTCCCTGTTTCCTCATTCTGTGCTCCTACACGCGCATCCTTGTAACCATCTTGGGAATCCCTTCAGCAGCTGGCAGACGCAAAGCCTTCTCCACTTGTTCTTCTCATATCCTGGTTGTTTCTCTGTTCTATGGCACTGCCTTATTCACTTATCTCCGACCTAAGACCACACACACTCCAGAAACAGACAAAGCAACTGCTCTCATGTACACAGTGGTCACACCTGCTCTGAATCCTGTTATCTATGCTTTGAGGAACAAAGAAGTAAAGGAAGCCTTTCAAAGAGTAACACAAAGGAACCCTCTGAGACAAACGACCTAAATCATCCATAGTAGCAGAAACTCACACTGTTGTTCAGAGAGGTTTCCTAAGGTTTTATGTTCCCTCTACCAGTATTAATTGTCATTAAAGTATTCATAGGATAGCAACCAGGAAACACTTAGAACTGTTCTAACTAGAGGTATATCGATTATATGTATATTGTAAAGATTTGCTTTTGTCTTCACTGTTTTTTCTATGGTTTTCTGACTCATAGAGTTCTTCTGTTGTGATTCAGTGAACATAGCATAGTGTTCAGCAAACACTACTGAAACAATGGTATGTCCAAACACCATCAAGTGAACTTTGATCTGTGACTCAAACTATATTAAAAGACTAATCCAGTAATCCATTTCCCACTGGATACAAGTTGGTAGCACATTTGCTGTGCATAATGATGAGGTAATGAAGTGGTTTGCAGATCACAACAGAATAGTCATAGCACATTGAAAGTAAGATTCTGAAGCTTCTAAAAAGATGATAAAAAAAGTGATTGAGTTGCACCAACACTCTAGGAAATTGTTTGGTCTTCGTCACCGTGGTTATTGGGAATTTAGGAATACAGAACACTGTGAATGAGATTTCCAAGAAGGAGAAACTTTGGAGGAAGAAATACATTAAAATCTTTAGGCAGGGATTCAGCAAAGTAAAGAGTATTAAGTTCCCCATCATGCTCAACATTGTACTTGAGAAATAGAAACAGGGAAATAACAGTTTGCAGCAAAGCTTCATCTGTAAGTCCAAGCCGAATGAACTCTATGTCTATTGATTGGTTCTTATTTCCCTTTTACAAGTCTCATCAAAACTACACAATAAAGATGATGAAACTAGCAATAACAGTGAGTTTTTTTTCGTTTTCAAAATATGCGTACAACCACGGAAAGACACTTTTGCAGAATCATGTCCATTATTTTTTTTTCCTGCATAAAATGTCATGTGATAGCTAAAGTCATGTAACGGATTAGCATAGACATCATTGTATCCTGAGAGATATTCCCTTTTTATGAACTTGTAGAGTTCCTATTTGCCAAAGTGCAATGTACCTGATTGTTTCCAATTTGACTCCTTACCATATGGATATTTTAAAGAATCAGGGCATGTAAATCACATGAATTACATTTTCTACTGATATGAGAGAAAAAATGATTGAAGTACATTCTAAACATCAGTGTCAATTATAACCCATGTTCCAAAAGCTGCTCCTCAACAATGGACTTTTAAGTCCATGTTATATGTACCAATGTTATGCTTTTCATATTTTATTTTTCATCCAGTTCCTAAATTTAACCTATAACCTCTGAATATCATTCTATACATTTACTCAATGAAGAAAAATCTTGTTTATTATTTTTTATCATTATCCTACTTTTTGCTAAAAGTATCAGTCTACCTGCTTTTTTATCATTTGATACTAAGTTCAAGAAATGAGTTGATGGTTTCCTAAATCTATATGATATATGGGAAGAAACGTAAGTATAGGAAAACTAAATAAAAGAGAAATCAAAAATGCTTTCCTTAACTTCATCTTCCTTAATGATACATACAATGATATGTATCACTTATAATTTACAATTCCTTCAACTAATTTTTTGTACAAACCATAAGAAGTTGATCTGCATATCTAGGTGATTTTCAAAACCAGATTTAGGTATTGTTGCAATTAATATGTTGGCCCATTCCTGATGAGGCAGTGGTCTTCAATAGTTTCTTATGATCCTTACTGTATTATTTTTGCAAACATCTTCATTACTTTTAACTCTTTGAGTTCTACATTTTCTTTAGGTTAAAATATTTATTTTGCCATTTAAAAATTGGCCAGATTTACCTAAACAGACATTTTTTTAATATGTCCTAGCAGAACTATCCTGGAAGTTAAAATTGTTGAAAATCGTTGGATCCTGTACTTATCCATATTATTATCCATATTATTTTTACATTATTATTTAACTCTTTAATATTCTATTATAGGTACTCTATGACTAGCATTTCTTTGATGTACTTATTTAATTGTTTTCTCTAAGGTCCCAACTTAAGCACCTGTTAGGAAGAACATTAATTTTATTCATTTCTCCATTTTTCTTCATCTATCTCCATGTATTATATTTCTCCCTTACAAATCATTACTTCACATTATTACTACTACTGGTAATCTTTTACTAATCATTACATAATCCATTATGCCTCAGTTGGAGTAATGAAAACTAAGCTTTCCTGGCTTTTAATTTTCACGATTCTATTTTTTAGCTCTGTGTATTTCAAACGGCCTTATCCTTAGTGAGCTATCTGTTGCTCCTATGCATAAAGCTAATAATAATGATTATTTCACACTGTTGTTTCCAGAATTACATATAAAACACCTACCAGTGCCTGTAATTTAGTGAGTAGTCAACAAAATAGAGATCTTGTTTTTTTAATTACTATTTTATAGAGGTCATATTGGCTTATAACATTGTGCAAATATCAGATGTACATTATTATGTATCAGTTTCTATTATACTGCTTCGTGTTCACCACCAATAGTCTAGTTTTTACCCATCACCATACATCCAGAGATCTTATTTTTATATCACATTTGTTGTTCAGCTTCCCTCACTAGATAAGAAAAGCTGAAAGCATTTCAGGGGAAAGCATTTCAAGGGAAAGCATTTCAGCATTTCAGGTGGAAGCCCTCTTAAGATATAAGTTGTGCCTGTATTTAAGAAGCCATGTTAAAAAAAAAAAAAACTAATACAACATTATATGTCAATTATATCTCAATAAAACAGGGAAAAAAAAAAGAAGCTATGTTACTTGTTCAAGACCTAACTTTAAAAAAAAAAAAAAAAAACAACACTATCAAACTACCTGGGGATTCAGAATTCAGAGGCCAATGGTAGTGGTTCTATTAGATATAACGTGAGGTGATACGTCATAGACTGACTGAAGTGCTGGAGAAGACAGATGATGTAACTTTAATCTGCCTGAGAGTGGGAAGAAGTGGGAATGGGGAAATCTTAGTTCAGCAGTGCTAGACCCTTATCAAGAGTTACAGAATATCCTTTATGGTCAATGTAGTAGATGACAGACGTTTAAAAATACACAAATAAAGCATTTGAGAAAGCTCAGTAATAAATTAGTGGTTTAACTTGAATAATATAATTTAAGCAAACTCATCCTGGTTGATGCATAACTGAATCAAAATGAAAATATATATTTAGAGAGGCTTAGGTTTTACTTTTATTAGATTGTCTCAATATGTTATATGTACTTTTTTTGTTTTATATGCTATTAAGATTTCTAAAAGTTAGATAATGCTCCAGGATTATTAGATCTATTTTCTCTTAATGGGAAAAGTATATACATAAATGATCAAGGAAAAATATAGTCAGTTGTTTAAATAACCATTATTCCTGAAATCATGATCATGACTCAAATATATTTTAAGATCCAGTTCATTAACAAATTGTACAGAAATCTGTACAACTGTCCAGTCAATTACATACTGTATGTATTTTTCTCCCTAGCTATATTTTATTCTGCTCTTTAGACAGTATTTTCAAACATATTTCTTCAAGTCAAGACCTCCAGTTAAAATAAAAAGGAAGTAAAAACGAAATTATGGCCTAATGCATACACATTTTTGGAAAAAATCATGAAATGTGATGTGTATCTGTGAAAACATTTTTTATTATATTTAAATTCTGGTCATGACACAGAAATAGATTTGAGGTCTTGAAATTCCAGATTATGACCTGCAGTTCAAAATTCCGTAGAAAACACCTCATTTTACTATTTTGGTTTCACTGGCAGGATATATGGCTATATATGTGTACACATATATATATAGAGAGAGAGAGAGACATATGGCAATCTGAAAAGAATAAATACATTGAGGTAGCATTGTTCTGCTTATGTAAACTCATTTACAAGCAGTTTCAATTAGTTTCAGAAGTATCCCAAGTTATTGAAAGGAGTTTTTTGGGTGTGAGTACACCAAATAAATATTGCATTTCGTTAGTAATTTTTAAAATAAATCAGTAAGATAAATTTTTAATCTATAATTGAAATATTTGTAAATGTTAACAATTCTCTAACAGAAACTAAACAACCGGTTTCTGTGGAATGTACTTTAATACAATGATCATCTTTTTTTAGTAGACAAACATTTTCTAATTTGAACATCAACACTGACGGTTAATTTCTGCTGCAGTTTTATTTTCATTTCATTAAATAGAGTATGGAACAATAAATTGATAGTACTACAAAAAACATAAATGAAAATTAGTTTTAAGTATGTTGTAACTAAGTACAAATAAAGAATGGTAATAACTTTTACATTGCACGCTCATTAAATATAACTTGAAAAATATTTTATATTCTTGACTAACTAGAATTGGAAGACAAAAAACACAGATTGAAAAACTTAGCTCACTTTCTTTAAGATATTCAGAGGAAAAGGAAGTGAGATGTGAAAATAATGCTTGAAAAGAAATATGATGAATATCAAAGAAATGAAAGCTAACAAAAGGGGGGGAACTATGTATTAGAAGCTACAATTAGATATACTGGTATTATTACAGACTCTTTTGCTCACTTCCTTTGTATATAATGCAATAGGATATTCATTTGTTTAAGAAAGAAGCAATCCTCTGTATCATATTCATGAAGGCTTTTTTCACTTGTTGGTTCCGTAAAGTGTAGATGAAAGGATTCAAAAGTGGGGCAATGGAGGTATTGAGCACTGCAATTCCCTTGGAGAAAGATATTCTTTGTTTAACTGATGGTTTAACATACATGAAGATACAGCTGCCATAAGAAAGGGATATCACAATCATGTGAGAAGAACATGTTGAAAAGGCCTTTCTCCTCTGACTAGCTGCAGGAATTCTTAGAATGGTCAAGGCAATGTAGGTATATGATATTATCACCATTACCAACGTGACCAGGAGTGTCACTGAAGCAGAAATAAATCCCATTGTCTCTATGAGCTGTGTGTCTGAGCAGGAGATCTGCATGAGGGGAGTCGTGTCACAGTAGAAATGATCAACAATGTTGGAGGCACAGAAGTCCAGCTCTAGACCTAACAGGAGAGGTACAAAGATGGTAAAGAACCCAGCAAGCCAACAACTGAGGACGAGCTGTGTGCAGATTTTACTGTTCATGATGATTGTGTAATGTAGGGGCTTACAGATGGCAACATAGCGGTCATAGGACATACATGCCAGCAGGTAAAATTCAGATGCTCCAAGAAGGAAAGCAAAAAACACTTGAGCAACACAACTGTTATAAGAAATAGTTTTGTCCCCAGTTGCCATAGTAGCCAGAAATTTAGGGATGCATGTAGTAGTGTAGGAAATTTCTAAGAACGAAAAATTCCTCAGGAAAAAATACATGGGGGTCTTAAGGTGAGTGTCCACCAGGGTGAGTGTGATGATGGTCAGATTGCCAGTGATGCTTAGCAAGTAGATGAGAAGCAGGAAGAGAAATAACACAACTTTCAACTGTGGATCATCAGTCAAACCTGCTAGGATAAACAGTGTTACTCTTGTATGGTTTCCCATTACCATCCTCCCCTTGTCCAGGTCTAAACAGAAACAAAAAGGAAAGAAGATGATGACCCCAATGGAACAATAACAGTGATAATTAGAGTGTAGGACAAGTTAGCAAAGCGATGTTTCAGATGGAGTAACACAGTGCTCATCCGTGTTTTAAAGATGGCTCTGCCAGGAAGAATACTAGTTTAATTTCTAGAATATCTGAACAGAGAATTCAACCTTTAGTTTGCAATTCAACCAGATAATAATCTGTATAATGGTAGTAATTGTTGATTGTTTTTATGTGACTAAATTAGAGAGATATAGTGGGCCTTTTAAAGCATAGAAAAATGCTTCTTCTCTCTTGATAGCATGCAAGAGTTGTTACAACATGACATTTCCTGTTCATTTAAAGAAATTTGCACTCTAGAACCACAACGACACCTGTCATAACAAGTACTTCAGCCTATGTTTTGAATTTAACACACATGTACACACAAAGCTAGCCATAATCAATACACAGGGCTTATATAATTTGACCAGTTTACTCAACTAATCAAACTCAAATGTCTGATTCCTGTGTCATTTACTTTCATAGCTAATGAAATCCAATATTGATAAGTGAATATGAGGCAGTGGGAATAACTTTATTTTCTGTTATTATTAATATTTCCATTCCCTCAATCTCTGTTATCACCCCCACCCTTCCCACTTTGTTCTCCAAAACAAAATCAGCTGGCACAGCCTGGAAATATCCTTGTGTCTGGCAAGAATCTGCAGTTTTCTTCTGCAGGTTGTGGTGTTGAAAATGGACCAGGTAAAGAAAAGAGAAAAGTGAGATAAAAGGATGTCGAAGCAAAGAGAAATATATAAATATGAGTTCATGAAATTGAATGGGGTTGGAGAAGTAAAGAGAAGAGAAAGGTAAAGACAAAGTTGTATGGAAATCCCTAGACCTAAGAAGGATTTTTTAAAGATAGGATAGTGGGTTTGAGGAAAAAATTAAAAGAAGATTAAAAATACGTGAATTTGGGGCCGATCCAGTGCCATAGTGGTTAAGTTCCATGTGCTCCACATCAACAGCCCAGGTTCAGTTCCTGGGCATGGACCCTCACCACTCATCGTGCCTGCTGTGACAGTGACCCACAGATGTTAGGTCAGGGTGAATCTTCCTCAAGCAAAAAAAAAAAGAGAGAGGAAGATTGGCAATAGATGATAGCTCAGAGCAAATCTTCCTCAGGAAAAATAATATATATATATGTAAATTAGTAAGTAAATCTTTAAAGATTTAAAATGTGTCAATTAGTAAGTAAAATTTTTAAAATAAAAATATGTAAATTATTAAGTAAAAATATGTAACAAGTAAAAATTATGAGGACAAAATTGTTTACCAATGAAATTTTCTCTGTCTGCTTCTATTTGTTCTACTTACTATTTTGTTCTTTGTCTAAAATGCAGACTGAAAACATGAGTAATTTTGAGATCAGCATGGTCAAAAAGAGATGAGGAGTGAGTATTTGATAAATTTCAACACATAATGAACCACAGAATAATCTTGACACAAATTTTAGGAGGCATATACTTCCCTATCATAAGGATACTCAAATGTTTGGCTAACACATAATTAAAGAAATATTAACTATAGATAGCTCTTCTCAACGCACGGCATACGTTAACTGAGACAGTCATGCTGTTCAAGTTTGCACGGCTAGCAAATTGGAGATCAGGATTAAGTTTGAAAGAGTGTACTTTCCAAAGTTGTCTTCTTAAAAGTATAACATTTTGTACAAATAATTATAGGCCAAATAATGGTGTATTTCTTTAAAAAAAAAGATTAATGATTATCTCTAAGGAAAATTTCCTTCCTCAGTATCTTCATCATTAAGCAAATAAAATGATTAAGGTTTGGTGATGGGCACTAAGTAAGACAATGTTTTCTGTCTTGACGATATCAAGATAATTATTTCCAACCTCTAAAAGATACATTATTATTAGAAAGGCATATACATAAATAAAAATAAACATACAAGGACAAGTAAAAGCTGTTTCCAGTAATATCTAGAGGAGTTTACAGGAGGATTCTAAGATAAAAAAATGAGATCTGGCATCAAAATAATGTTAATAATGTAGACACATATGGGTGAAAAGAAATGACAGTTATTTTTCACTGACATTCCTTTTACATTCACAAAATTGTGAAGTACTCTATTACAATTTTTCTTCATTTACACAAATTACTCAACGGCAACAACTGCAGGAATGCATATATCTAAAACACCTACATCAGAATTATGTGACACTATTTCTTTGTCCAACTTCAACAATTACACGCACCAACTATCCCCATCACATACTATAAAAACATTAACAAAATTCACATTATCACACCATTAGAAGTCAGGCCTATGAATGCAAAGATGTTTAGTTGTGTTAGATATTGTGAATATCACATAAGTTTAAAAAAGGAAAAGTTTTTCAGTGCTAAATTTTTATTATATTTCATTATTTTTCTTTCACCATTTTCTCTAAATCAAAATTTAAAAAGTTAGAAAATATAAGATTAATACTTTAATGGTAAAAATGGAACAAAAGTGGAGTAAAGTATATCTAACAGAAAATATGATCTTTAAATTTTAGACATACCAATTTTTGTCATCTTTTTGAGTCCTAAAGCAGTCTACCAAAAACACTTTGAAACTCAAACACCTTTTTAAAGAAGATATATACACAGATTTATTCAGACAAAATCATCTTTGCTTCAGTATTTAACTCTTTTACTATCTTACTGAACAGAGCACGATGATTTTCCATTGTTTTCTGAATGGATCTCACTCTACCCCACAATCTATGAGCGTTTCTACTTATCTATAAATGGCAAATTTGTAAATGGTTTAATTAGCTTTTTTTTTCCTTTGGTGAGGAAGATTGGCCCTGAGCTAACATCTGTTACCAATCTTCCTCTTTTTGCGGAGGAAGGTTAGCCCTGAGTTAACATCTGTGCCCATCTTCCTCTATTTTGCATGTGGGATGCCACCATAGCATGGCTTAATGAGCAGTGCATAGGTCCGTGCCCAGGATCTGAATCTGCGAACCCCAGGCCACGGAAGTGGAGTGTGCGAAGTTAACCACTATACCACTGGCCAGTCCCTTGATTAGCTATTTTTATTTAGCAGATTTTTAGACTAATGTATTAAATTTACCCCATTACTACAATTTATTTATTTATATTTTGAATACTTTTCTAAGTATTACCTACAATGTCATATAAAATTAATCAACACTTGATCCTATGGAGTATTTATGCTTTCTGAGCCCTAAAGGAAAATATCTAAAGATTATGAAAATTCTCAGGAGGATTTGAGATCCAAGAACACCATTCCCAAAGGATCACAAATTTACGTTATACAAGCCTTCCCAGGCACTAAATATTTAAAAATAAAAATGTAATTTAAAAAAAACTGCTTTTAATTATGTCTCCAGAGAATTCAGCATAGATTTATTTCCCTAGTATGTCTTTGTCCTCCCACACATTCATGTTTTGAAATCCCACATTCATAGATAAGGATTTGGAAGCAGGAAAAAAAAGAAAAGATTATTTTCATTGGTAATGAAAAGTGACAATATAAGATGGAGAACTAAGCCTGTCATAGAAAAAATTGTACCTAAGGCTAAATGCACCATTATTAATTCCTCAGACACACCTAACACTTCATGTCCTGTATGTCCTTCAGTTTCTATTCTGAAAGCTGTTTTTTCTCCAAATAGTCTTTGAGATATTGTCTGGTGGGTCCTAAATTGATATTTCATAATAACTAAGCATTCTCCCCTTCTTCAGTATTAATAGAGCATTTATCTATGTATATAGCTAGCCTTCCTGCAACTTGTGGTGGCCATGTGACTAAATTCTGTCCAAACGATGTAAACGGAGATAATCTGTGGAATTTCCATGAATATCTCTAGATATCTATGTATTTGTTTGTTTGTTGTTATTTTATCTTCCACTTATAAGTGAAATTATAGGGTATTTGACTTTCTCCACCTGACTTATTTTGCTTAGCTTAATACCTTCAAGACCTGTCCATATTGTTGCAAATTACAAGATTTAACCTTTTTTATGGCTGAGTAATATTCCATTGTGTATCTGGACCACATCTTCTTTATCTAGTCATCCATCGATGGGCATTTAGGTTGTTTCCAAGTCTTGGCTATTGTAACTAATGCTGCATTGAACATAGGGATGCAAATATCTTTTGGCTTTCCTGTTTTCGTATTCTTTAGATAAATACCAAGAGGTGGAAGAGCTGGATCATATGGTAGCTCTATTCTGAATGTTTTGAGGACTCTCCATACTGTTTTCCATAGAGGTTGCAGCAGCTTACATTCCCACCAGCAGTGTATGAGAGTTCCCTTCTCTCCACATCCTCTCCAACACTTGTTGTTTCTTGTCTTGTTAATTACAGCCATTCTGACAGGCATGAGATGATATCTCATTCTAGTTTTGATTTGCATTTCCCTGATGATTAGGGATATTGAACACCTTTTTAGGTGCCTATTGGCCATCTGTACATCTTCTTTGGAAAAATGTGTGTTCAGATCCTCTGCCCAAATTGAGTTGTTTGTTTTTTGCTTGTTGAGTTCTATGAATGCTTTATATATTTTGGATATTAACTCTGTATGGGATATATAATTTGCAAATATCTTTTCCCAATTGTTAGATTGTCTTTTGGTTTGTTGATGGTTTCCATTGCTGTGCAGAAGCTTTTTAGTTTGATGTAGTCCCATTTGTTAATTTTTTCTTTTGTTTCCTTGCCTGGTGAGACATGGTATTCAAAAAGATACTGCTAAGGCCAATGTTGAAGTGCATACTGCCTATGTTTTCTTCTAGAAGTTTTAAAGTTTCAGGTCTTACATTCAAATCTTCAATCCATTTTGATTTAATTTTTGTGTATGGTGTAAGATAATGGTCTACTTTTATTCTTTTGCATGTGGCTGTCCAGTTTTCCCAATACCATTTATTGAAGAGACTT